TCTCCTGCCTGTTTGCTCCTCTCAGCCAGTCGGACACAAACAAATTCATCTTTACAGACGCTTATCCATTCACGTGCCAGGATCTGCTCCACTTGAAGCAATGCTGCATGTTGTACTTACTACTACTGCAACATTCATTTCTGACAACTACTTATCCAGTGTTGGGCTGCAGTGAGCCTACAGTGTATTCCTGGTGGCATGGGGTGCAAGGCAGGACACATCATGGACTAGATTCTAGGCTGTTACAGGGCAAACTAGACACTGAAAAGGCACCTTATTTTTGGCGGACGGACCTGAATAGGGAGAACATGCAAACTCTACCTGTGTAAAACTGTACTCAGAATTTAATCCACAACCTTCTTCTGAAACCTGTCCAGTGACATGATAAAATGCAATGATTGTACGATTACCTCTTCATGTTGTTGGACTGCTGTCTATTACTGTGGTCACCGCTACTGCGTTGTAGGAGAGGAGTGCATGACGCTGGCTTTGAATAGCCGCTGCCAGAACCAACTGAAGCCACGGCAGAGCCGGGGTGAGCGCATGGGCAGGAAAGGTCGGGCTCGCAGAGGCATGGAGGCCCGACCCGGGAGAGCAGAGCGCAGCGAGGGTCTCTGCGAGATACACTTCCTCCCTCAGGTGGTACTAGCAAGGAACAGGAGCCAGATCCAACAACTCTACTGTGCAGGTGGGTTCTGGTCCTGCTTAGTTGGCTATGAGGTTGTATGAGTGACACACATGCTCTCACACTTCTGTTCTTTCAGATTTGCAGGACTTTGCCAGATGCCCAGAGCCCCTGCCTATCTCTATCTCCACTGTACCCATTTCCAACTGCGAACTGAACAAAAATACCCGCCGGTGCCACCAGCAGCCCTTGGCAACACACTTCTCCTGCCGGCTTTATCAAACATGCGACCATGCTGTGTTGCTCTCAGGTAGAAGGTGGTTGGTGAGGATGCTGATGCATGGCCAAGGTCTCTGCCTCGTGATGCACTCAGTCATTCCTTCCTCGCTGTTCCCAGGTGGCTGGCAGCAGCAGATCACATACCGACAACATGTGAATAACCTGCAGATCTTCTATAGCATGTTGAGGAACAATGGCTTCCACAAGGACCACATAAAAACCTTCTTTGCGGGCAATGGCCTGGATCCAGGTGAGAGGGACCAGTGGTTCAGAATACTGGACGAGAGAGCTGAACATTGCAATTTAGCTTTGGTAGTTACAATTTAGCTGGTATATTGAAGTGCATGTGCAGACAAAAATCTGTTTCCATGACGTTTTCATTGGCAATATCTCCACAGAGGAGGTGGAAGGGGTATATCCAGCAACAGAGAAGGAAGTGATCCGGAACCATATCTCCTACGTCTGCCGCAAGCAGCACTGCGCCGATACCTTTGTGCTTTACCTCAACAGCCCCACACGCAATGATGGGACCATGCTGCTCTGGGACAGCAACCACAACGGCATCGTGAGTGTGCATGCATATACAGTGCTGGTCAGTTGCATGCAAGAGTCATGCCGGAAAGGTCTGAGTCAGATGTGTCATAGCAAGGATGGTCTTTATGGCCACACCCCCCCCCCGCCCAAAATGGTCCATTATTGCAAAAATAGGTTAGCTAATTCAAAAAGGAAACCATTAATTATTCCTCCATGTGATGTTACCTTCGGAAAGCCCTGGATAGTTTGCTCCAGGTCATATGCTGTTTTGAATGGCTATAGTCCATGTGTGTTGTAGAAGAGATCGATGTGATTATATGAGAAGTCGGGGAGTGACAGATAGCAGTCAGTCCACGAACAGAAGACACCTCCTTAGGACCATGAACCCTTACTGAAATCCCTCAGCCGTCCCTCTAAACCACCCTTTCATCTGCGGTTAATGTTTTCAGTCCACAATGCATCCGAGTTAATTACAGTGGCTTCCTGTCTTTCAACTACACTCAACCCATCCCACCCCTGCACTCCAGTCCACTCTGACTGAATCCCACCTTCCCCTCCTAAAGGTGGTCGGTAATCCCTGCCATATGTCCTCTCTGGTGGAGATGGAGTCTCTCTGTAGCAATGTAACAATGGAGTTGGGTTCAGTGGGATCAAAGAGAACAACCTGATCTCAGAGCAAGGGGACAGTGACAAAAGCCTTAGAGGGACCAGGAGGGCAGCAGCTCAGTCCCGCCAGACAGCTAAATCCTGTGTAAAGCAGTCAGAGTCTCTGAAGTCCTCAGTAAACAATGTGATGTAGGCTCCTCTGTTTACAAATTTGCTCAGCACTTTTGGAGACTGGCGACTCTCTTGTGTAAACCTTCCCCCTGCAGGCGGACCCCATGGAGCGGTACTCCGTGAGCGAGCTGCTCGTTGACCTGGCCGGCTGCCGGGCCCGGCGGGTTCTGCTCTTCGTGGAGCAGAGTTACAGCACCACGCTGGCCAAGAGGCTCAGGGGTTCCCTGAAGCACCTCAACGTGGCAGTGCTGGGCAGCGCCTACCGCACGCAGACAGCCAGCTTCTGGGGCTCTCTGCACCCCAGCCATTGCCTGATAGAGCACCTGGATCAGGTGAGGCCACTAGGGGCCGAAAGGCGGGTAGAGAAGGAGGATCACAAACCCTGTGAAGATCGTGTGTGTTAAAAACAAACTCCATCCTCACCCCCCGACTTCCTAGGTACCAGCAACGCCCCAGCCTGTGAATTCCTCCCCCGACCTCTTGAACGTCACTCTCGCCGGTGCCCCCTGCAATCTCACACCACCCCTCACAGAGGCCGAGATGCGCAAGCAATACATGGGATGTCAGAACCTGCCGACCGCCTTGTGGTACCAGCGTCAGAACCAAGACGGCAGGAAGTGAGAATTGCCACGGTAACGACTCCCCCTTATTCATAGATGCCTCTATCACCTCACAATGGACGTTGGTTGCAACTCAGAAGCTGAGATCTAATCCCACTGGCAACTACTGGAGGATGATCGACCATTTTCAACATACTGTCTTGTGAAAATAAATAGGAAAAATGCTTACTCTTAGCAGTGTAAATGCCAAAATGTTCCAAAGCTGGAAGTTTTCATTCACTAGCCAATATGCACTCAAAACTGCGGCTAAGTGCACTTTCACTCCTATTTTCCACCCACAAGTGATTCCTGTACGTCCACATGGAAAGGATTCAGAAGAGTAGTGGCCCAGATTTATGCGCTAGGGGGAAGACTCCAGTGTCCTCTCTCTGAACTCTGGCATGTACACTTTCCCTTACCCAGGAGCACGTAGTACCATGAGATGAGCACCGTCCTGAACGGGTGGCGGTGGAGGTGGTTCAGCTGGGGGGGCAGCGTTAGGTCTCTGGGAGAGCACCTTCCATGGGTCACTGAGCACATCCATCCCCAGGAAAGCATGGCACCTCCAGAGTCCTGCTGTGAGGCTGATGACTTCCCCATGATTTAAATATGAGGAAGACTCCTGCCCTGCGCTCAAACACAAGGCCGCTGCTGTCACACTGACAGCCTGCCAGAGACGTAGAATCACAGTTACGGCCCACTTTGGGATCAGCCAATCACAGTAACAGCTCCCAAAGGCACCTATAGAAACTGCTGTAAGCTTCAGCACTTGTAAGGGAATTAAATGTCTTACCACAGATTTGGACACAGAAAATATATATATATCTCATGCGTAAACAAGTACAAATTCACAGACACAGTGTTGCACAGTCAATGTTGAGATGTGTTCCATTGAGACTTTGGGATGAGAACACGAACACAGCAGCCTTACATATTTCTGTCAGCAAACTCCTTCCAGACGCACCGGCATGTATCAGCTGGAGACCACGAAGGGAGCTCTTTATAGCAGACAAAGCGCGTGTTTACTCTGTATGTGTGTCTTCAGTGCTTGACCAATGACATGTTTATTGTTCAGTGGAATCCATAATCCCCCCTTGTCTATTCTAAACTACAAATTGTGTAAGCAGCTGTACATATTTGTAATAAATTAACTTTTGTACATAGTAAAGTGCTCTTGGGTTACTTTCAAACTATTAAAGTTTACAGATGATTATGATTAACATGCAATTTCTAGGGAAATATTCGGTAACGCTTTACATTCAGTGCACCTTCATAACGCATTCATAACGCATTCATAGAACATCCATAGACAGCATGCAAGTACACCTTAACATCTCTTAACAGCTTTAATATACATTAATAACAAACATTACATGATTATACAGTTATGATGTTTATTATTAATGTATAGTACAGCTGTGTAGAGATGTTGGGATGTTAAGGTATACATACATGACGTTTATGCATGTTTTATGAATACTTAATGGATACATTATGAAGGTGTACTGAACGTTTTATGAATGCAATATAAAAGCATTATGAAGTTAATCTAAAGCGTTACCAAATATTCAGATCACCCTCTGGCTATTCTAGACAAATATAATTTTAGTAGTGACATTTATTACATCCCAAACCACAATAACGATCAAAGACAACCATTAGAAACCTTATACTGGATATCATCTGGATATCAGGTTCACTGAAAAAGATGCATCAAGTGGTCAATCAGATTAACACACAAAAAGCTGCATAGATCACCATTTATCCTCATCTTTATTTCAAACAATTTTGTTTTTGAAAGAATAAAATATATATATATATATATATATATATATACACATATATAGAAATATATTTGGGTCAGCATAATTTTTTAAAAAGCAGCACTTATGATTACATATTTCATCATAAAACAGCATAAAACATAAATATGGTCTTCTTGCCTGTTTGTCTGACATTAAAAAGGCAATAACCAGCATTAATTACAATGCATGCAGTTTAAAATCACCAGTGTTCACCAAACAAACAAACAGTCTAAAACTCAGTCAGTCAGTCAGTCAGTTCGGGGAACATGCACTGGTACAGCGCGTAGCCGTGCCCACATGCACTGGTACAGCGCGTAGCCGTGCCCACATGCACTGGTACAGCGCGTAGCC